GTGGTACCGGGGATCGAACTCGGGTCCTTGCACTTGCGAGGCAGGCCACTATTCTTGATGTGAAAGTTGGCTTCTCGCTCCCATCTGCCCTAGGGGACGCGTCCAGCCGCACATGGAAGATGAACTTGTCTGTGTCTTTCTCCAGCAGCTGGCGGCACGGGGAACAGATACATCCCATTCTAATCTGGAACCCTTTCAGGTGCCCCGACCCCAGCATACTTGGGAGCCTAAGGCAGGCATGGTATGAACAGGAGGTGGGGGAGGAGGAAGGGGAGGAGGAGGGAAGACCAGCGCCCCTGCAAGGCCAGCCGTGGCTGTCAGCCTGACTCACTCTGGGGAACCGGGGGGCCCTCACCTCGCAGGCCCCCATGACTTCCCCGGCTCTGAGGGGGAGGTAGGCGCTTCCTGGCACTCTGTGTCTTTAGCAAATCCTAAAGGCTCTTGTGAGCCCTCTGAGGGCCCTCCCGACTCTTCACTTCTGAGAAAGTGGAGAAAGTGAAAACACTCCAAGGAGCCGGCTCCTAGATAAGCAGCGGCACACAGTCCTTGTCAAACATCACATGCTTCCTGTTTAAAATAATGAGTGGCACCTTTGGAAAATGTGGGAAACAAGAGTCCTTGCTGGTAAAAATCAGTTAAGAACACCTGCAAGTTTTGTTATTTTTCCTTTTCTCCAAACTAAAGCCCCAGCTTTCCGATTTAAACCCTCAGTGCATTATGAAACTATGAGCAGCATTTGGGGCCTGATTTTGATAGAATGTTTTCCTGCACTTACGGACGCGCCCAAGCAGGCACCCCCTGGCTTCTGATGGGAGGGTAAAGGCTTGCCAAGAAGGGAAGGGGTCCTAGTCTCCCTTACTTCTCCTGAAGCAAGTGGAGATCAAATTCACAAGGGCAGAAGAGCAGCAGAGAAAAAGGGACTGAGATTTTGGCTCAGTGGTTCTGCTACCTGCCTCGCAAGCACAAGGTCTTGAGTTTGGTCGCCGGTACCAAAAGAGAAAAAGAAAAAAAAAATAAGAGAGAAAAGAAAGAAGAGCAGACAACGGATGAAGCTGAAGGGATTGGAGAACTAATATTTATTAAGCCTCTCTGTTTGCCAGGATCTTTGATACTTTTACATTAAGTGAAACAGCTTATTTCTGTTTTACTAATAGTGCAATACTACAGAATGTCTTTAAAAATGATAGCATATTAAAAACATCTAGAATTTGAATAGTCAGAAAGGAGCTAAAACGCAGGAGTTTATAATCTTTTTAAAATGAATGTTTTCCTAAAGTACTAGTTTAAAAACATCTGATGATCGAGACCTTAGAAATATATAGGAAGCTAGGTGTGTTAGCACACGATGATAGTCCCAGCTACTCAGGAGGCTGAAGCAGGAGGGTCACTTGAGCTCAGGCATTTGAGGCAACATAGTGAAATCTCACTCCAGGGAAACTGGAAAAGGTGCTTCCCCTTTGTTCCCTCTGTGAGTTTTTTGCCTTCTCCTCCACACAAGCACCCCCTCATCTGCCTGCCCCTTGCCCCCTGGTTCTTTTTGTTTGTTTTTTGGAGACAGGGTCTTGCCGTGTAGTTCAGGCTGGCCTTGAACTCACTACATAGCCCAGGTTGGCTATGAATTTGTGGCAATCCTCCTGCCTCAGCCTCTCCAGTGATAGGATGATAGGTGTGTGTCACCATGCCTGGCATGCCCCCTAATCCTTGATTGGCCACCATGATGTCCCCAGCCCTCCCACAGTGAAAGCGGCGTGGGGCTGCCCTGTCGATGCCTCCAGATGGGCCTGGAGTGGAGAGCTAGGTCTGCTCATCAGCTTGGGAGGGGAGCAGGCAGCTAGGGAGCTCAGTCCTCTGGCTCAAGCGGGATGTGAAGCAGGCTTCCCTGAGCCTTGGTCTTGCCATCTGGAAGCAGATGGGGCTCTACATGCGTTCATATCCTCGACCAGGTCTCTTTCCGGCCACCAGGCAGGCCATTAGCAAAATGACAAGCAGTCCCGTGATACTCAGGCCCACAGCCATGGGGATTTCTCTCCTGTTTCTGTCACTGAAGCACTCGGCCGCTGTAATCGAAGCCAGAGTAACGGTGTTACAGGTGGGGCCCCACTCGGGAGCGGGGAGCTGTGGGGGCTGCGGGTCTGAGCCAACAGTCGGTGAGGGACTGGGAACTCGCTCCAGAGGCGCAGCTCCAGAGCTCCAGGCCCCAGGCCCAGGGAAGGATTCCGCTGCTCCCAGAGAGGGAGATCTGATGAAGAAGCGGGGTCAGGGTCATGGCCCGTGGTGACCCTCCAGCCCCAGAAGCCCCCGCTGTGTTCTCCACCTCCAGAGATCAGAGATGGGCCCTGCACGCCTGCCAGTGGGGCCAATGCTGTCTTTTCAAACCCTGAATGTTTTTTTTTTTTTTTTTTTTTTTTGGTACTGGGGATTGAACTCTGGTCCTTGCGCAAATGTTGGGGTTTTTAAAGGGGTCGCTGTATAGCCTGGGGCTCCTTGGATGGCAGAGAAAACAAAACCACCCAGCGAAAGAATAGGACAGCGAAAGAAAACCTCTTGCCAGCTCCAGGGTGTCAGGAGTATTGCAGAGGCAGAGGCAGGAGGGTTTGGCTGGGATGGTTATTCCTTTTGTACTTGTTGGATTCTTCTGCATTCTTCCAACCCATTTCAAGGTCAGCCATTGGCCCAACCCTCACCACCATTGTGTTTGTCATGGTTTCCACTGCCTGTGCTTCTGTCTGTCTTTCTTTCTTTCTTTTTTTTTGGAGACAGGGTCTCCCTATGTAGTTCAGGCTGGCCTTGAATTTGTGGTGATCCTCCTGTCTCAGCCTCCCGATTACAGGGGTGTGTCAACTTGCCTGGCTCTGTTTATATGTCTTTTTAACACCTGCTGCATTGCAGCTTGCTCTTTTCTTTATCACTGTCTCTTACCCGTGGGAAAAATCCTACTTGTGGAATGACGTAATGCATCTTCCTTCGCAGCTTTAGGAAAGCCTGAATTACAGAGACCAGCAATATGAAGCTGAGCTTCCACAGGGGCAGGGAACAGAGAGGCATTGTGGAATGCGTAGGGTTTTGTGAGCATTTGGTAAGAAGGTGCAGCAGCGGAGGGAGGGAAGGGTCACTGAGGTCTCTTGCGTGGAGGCTCCAGTGAGCAGTGATTTTTCAAAAAATAACTAACAGAAGAGCCTTTCAGTCAGGTGTGATGGGGGGCACACCTGTAATTCCAGTACTCCAAGGGGCTGAGGCAGGAGGATCACAAGTTTGAGCACAGCGTTGACAATTTAGCAGCTCAATGTGACCCTGTCTCACAATTAAAAAAGTAAACTCGGAGAGTGGAAGTCGAGTTCAATGGGAAGGCCCAGTATCTCAAACAAAAACAAACCTTTTCCACGTCTGCCTGTAACACTGCTAGTAGGAACCAGAAAGCTGCTAGAAGATTTTATTCCCAAGCCCTGCTCAATTCTGGCTTCACAGAGGTTTTAATGGGAAAGAGGAGCAGGTGTGTTCTTATTTCATCGCTTAGCTGGACCCCAACACTCTGGGAAGCTGATGCAGGACTGTAAGTTTTGAGCCCCGCCTGGGCAGTTCAGGGACTTAGTGAAATTCTGTCTCAAATCCTGCAAATATCAGGGCTCCAAGGCAGGCAGCACTGCCTCCTGTGTTTTCTTAATTGTTTTCCACTGTGTCAGAAGAAATTTCCTACCAGACACATTTTTTTTTTGTTACTGGGGAATGAACTTGGGTCCTAGAGCTTGCGAGGCAGGCATTGGAACCACTGAGCTAAATCCCTGGCCCTGGGAACATCTTTAATTTTATAATGGAGCCCAAAGTAAAACCAGATTTCTATTACAGAAATGTAACATAGAGCTAAACTAGCTAAACCTATTTTGGATGACTGAAAAGCACTTACGATGTTTTTGAGTTCTTTCAAGAGGGATGTTTTGAGAATTGAAGTTCATCAGCCTCCTGATAGGTAGGAGTCCTTGTAACACAGCCTTCTGGGCAGGAGAAAAGGGCTTTTCTGGGAAGTCTCCCAGGTCTGCCCTGGCCCTCGCCAGGCAGCATCGGGCAAGCTCTGGGGGTGCTGGTTCAAACCCAGAGCAGAAATTAGATGGAAATGAAAACTGGCTGAGGAAACAGTGGTGGGCACACCTTAACTGAGAAGAGGGGATCCAGCGGAATTGTTCTCTTTGTGGTTTATCATATCTTCTTTTCCCTCTGCAGGTGGGAAAAAGCTAGTTTGAAATCTTGAATCACTAATGCTCAGGGCCTTACAGGATTCTCCAGACAGCCCTGGGCTCCCCAGGCCGGCAGCATGGACAGGGAGGCCGCACACGGCGCTCCTCAGCTGTTGGGCTGAGTGTGTCTGATTCAGCCAAGGAGACGTGTTTTGGGCAGACTCCTTGCTGGGGAGAGCCCGGATGTGAATGGGCCAGGGGCCTGGTTCTGAGGTGGCAGAAATGGCCAGGGGAGTTTAGCCCTCAGGGTGGGGTAGGGAGCTCCTAGACTCCTGGCCCTGGACAGCTTCAGACAGAACCCAACTCGGAGCAACCCTGGGTCCTGAGACCGGTGTGCGATGATCTGGGGAACCCATAACTTACCGTTTCCGAAGTGGTCTCCTTCAAAGTCAAAGGCTTGAAGTTGGACGTTCATTGTTTTCAGCCGAAGCTGGGCAGACAGCTGTGTGCTCTGCTCACTCACACACTTGAAGGAATGGCCGACCACTGTCTCAAACATCATCACTGCTCTTTTCAACCCTTGGAAAGTTTTCTCTGAAGAGAAAAAGTGAGAGATGTGCAAGAATCCCAACACTCTCCGCGGAGTCCCACGGCCACCAAATGGTGCCCTTCAGATGTGGCCTTCCAGGGGTCCTGCTACCATCTCAGGCAGACACACCATGTGTGGAGACTTTCTGAGGCTCCAGGGCAACTCTGCCTTATGACGCACGCACTCTTTAAGGAGGTGATACTTCAAGTAGACGGGGTTCAATATTTTTAAAATTAATTAATGTATTTATTTATTTTTGGTTTTTTGAGACAGGGTCTCACTATGTAGTTGAGACTGACCTGGAATTCACTATGCAGCCCAGGCCGGTCTGGACCTCACAGGGATCCACCTGCCTCAGCCTCTCAAGTGCTGGGATTACAGGCGTGCGCCACCACGCCCGGCAATTTTTTCATTTCTTGACAAAGTTCTTGAGTGTCTGATTTTTTATTTTAAGTCAGGGTCTCACTATGGCCTTGATCTCATTATGTATCCCAGGCTGGCCTTGAACTCAGGTGATCCTCCTACCTCAGCCTCCAGAGTGCTAGGATTGCAGGTGTGCACCACGATGTCTGGCAAGGTATTAATTAATAAAAGACTGTTTAAGCCAATCAAAGGGTAGAACTTTGCAAAGGAGAGAATAGACATGACAACCACTAGGCCAGTCCCTGGTGCAAAGAGGATGTTTGAAGGTCTGTTTTCTAAAACTCAGCTTTTTGGAGAAACATCCGAGGCCTTTCAGACTCATGGACTTGCTTGGGAGCATCTCCAGAAATGAGTATCACAGGGGCATTTTCAACTTGCCCCAGAATGCGTAATTCCCCATACAGCAATGGGAGGGAATCTTTATAAACTGAAATCTCATCCACTGTTCCCCACACCACACCTTCCCATGGCCTCCTGTCACACTTCAGAATAAATCAGAGTCTTTTGCTGCCTTGCCCACAGGCAGGCCCTTTGTCCTCAGCCGACCGCCGTGTGCTTCCCCTCTGGGGCTCCCTGGTATCCCGCTGGTCCTGACCAGCTCACTCTGCAGGCTGTGTGCATCAGTTATTCTACCGTCTGGTGAGAGCATCCCTGGATGGAGACCCCTCTGCTCAAACCTCACCTCTTCAGAGCGCCTGCACCCCTAAAGTCTTCCCTGAGGCCGGCAGGAAGTAACTTTCTGTGCCTCTCCCTCCTGCTTAGTTTGTTCAGGGAGGTCACTGCCACTGAACAGTGCAATGCAAGGTAAGGTGTTTGTTCGTGTCCTCTTTCCTTCTAGAATGCAATCTCCACGAGCGCAGAAACTAACTGCTGGATCCCCAGTGCCTAATGCAGACTGAGCGTGGCACCTAATTATGTTCTTGTAGAAGGAATGAATGAGGTTTTTTTTTTTTTTTGAGACAGGATACTGCTGGATCCCCAGTGCCTAATGCAGACTGAGCGTGGCACCTAATTATGTTCTTGTAGAAGGAATGAATGAGGTTTTTTTTTTTTTTTTGAGACAGGATCTCACTATGTAGTTGAGACTGACCTGGAACTATGTAGCCCAGGCTGGTCTCGAACTCACAGCGATCCTCCTGCCTCAGCCTCCCCTGAGTGCTGGGATTATAGGTGACCACATCGGCGAGGAACGCATGATTTGAAGAGTACAGAATGAATTGCATTGTCAATAGCAGATCTGTTAAAAAGTTGCAACACTTGTTATTGTTGCTGATAATGTTCTCTAGCACATGGATTACCTGAAGTGCACACAGATAGTAAGTCCTCCTAGGTTTCATTGTAGGTAACTATTTCATTTTGTTTCTTAAAGGCAGCATTAAAAGTTATCAGACTCAGTGCAAAGTAAGCTAACCAGAAACATACTGTCAGTCCAACAGCCATTCTAGCAGTACTAACCTGGATTTGAGACAGTCAGATAGGCTCCTACTTCACTAATGTAATATGAAATTTCTTCCTGCAAAAGAGAAGTTTGTTAACCATTTTTATGTCTAGGATCCTGGCTTACAAATTTGTTTAGTCAGGATTTGCATTAGCCAGCTTTTTGTTACTGTGACAAAATCAACTTAGAGGAGGAAAGGTTTATCTGTCTCATAGTTACTGAGGTTTCAGTCAATGGTTGGCTGGCTGCGTTGTTTGGGGTCTGCAGCGGTGGTGGGTGGTAGTGTGCGGTAGAGGAAGCTGCTCGTCTGATGGCATCAGGAAGTGGAGAGAGAATGATCCAGAGAGGAAGTGACCAGGAACCAGACTCAGTCCTCACGGCGATCAGCCTCCCATACCCACCCCTTCAGTTAGGCCTCACTTCCTGTCTATAACCTTCCCAGAACACCTCCAAATTTTGATCTCACAGCTGACATTAATCCACCAATAAAATCAAAGTCCTCAGAAAGCAATCACAATGAGCCTTTGGGGGGATATTTCAGATAACAACTGTGGCAGGGTTCCAGCTCTGAAATCCTCCATAGGGAGGTTTTGGGTTCTGAACCATAAAAGTGTTTCAAAATTCTGAAACAAGTGAACACATTCCATAATAAAAAATAAGTCATATGGGCCGGGGATTTAGCTCAGTGGTGCTGCCGCCTGCTTCGCGAGTGCAAGGTACACAGTTTGATCCCTGGTACCAAAAAAAAAAAAAAAAAAAAAAAAAAAAAAAAAATTAACCCTTGCTAAAAAAAAAAAAAAAAAAAAAAAAAAAAGTAATAACTTATCCCTGGCCCCACATTTCCTTATTATTTATTTGTTGCTAAAGCCTAAAACTCAAATTCCACCACTATAACTTGAGTCCTTTCAGTAGTGCACGGAGCTGGGAGGAGGGAGGGTTGCAGGGGCACACTGAGCTCTTTTGAGTAACTGCCGTCTAAACTTTGGGATCCTCTACCTGGAGACCGCTCATCCTCAAAGTATGTTGAGTAGACTCCACAGGGTTCACAAACCGTCTGGGGGAAAATATATGTGTATTTCCCTGGGTAGGATGTCAGTTGCTTCAAAGAGATTAATAGGTTTATGTTTTAGCCAAGAACGGTAGCACACGTCTTATAATTTTAGCACTCTGGGAAGCTGAGGCAGGAGGACCACAAATTTGAGCACAGTCTGGGCAACTTAGTCACTTAGTGAGATCCTGTCTGGAAAAAAAAAAGTGCTGGGAAGTAGCTCAGTGTGTAGGCTATGGGTTTAATCCTCAGTAAAACACACACACACACACACACACACACACACACACAGAGGCTGTGTTTTCAAAATGGTGCCACCGCAAGGTATTCTGGGAAGAAATGGTTTACCTGGAAGAGGGCTCCAGTTCGAAACACAGAGCAGTGCCTCACACTTTATGGAGGCACTATCCTTTTAGAAAAACAAAACTGCCAAGAGTGGGCTCTCACAGCTGTAAAGCCAGCACTCCCAGAGTCTGAGGCAGAGAGACTGCAAATTCGAGCCCAGCCTGGGCAGTTTAGTAAGTTAGTGAGACCCCATCTCCAAAATAAGGCTGAGGATGCAGCTCAGTGTGAAGGTCCTGGATGGTTCAATCCCCACTACTGCAACAAACAAGTAAACAAATTACTAAACACCCCGGAAAACCTGCTGAAAGACTGAGGGTATAAAATATTCAAGGAGATTGAACTGAAGTATGAAACGGTGATTGAAAAGGGAATCAAGCTGGAGATTTAGCTCAGTGGTTCCGCTGCCTGCCTTGCAAGCACAAGGACTGGAGTTCGATCCCCGGTACCAAAAAAAAAAAACCTTTCTTGCTGGGGGTGGTGGCACACGCCAGCACTTGGGAGGCTGAGGCAGGAGGACTGCTGTGAGTTCGAGACCAGCCTGAGCTACATAGTGAGTTCCAGGTCAGTCTCAACTACATAGTGAGATAAAAAAAAAAAAAAAAAAAAAAAAAAAAAAAAAGGGACTCATTCATTGTTCAATCAACTTTTTTTTTTTGGTACAGGGGATTGAACTCATTCATTCATTGAAGGCAACTGTGTTCATTCAGCCCGCAGGCTGGTGACACCTGAGAAGGAGACCTTGCTTCGAGTTGGACCTGGTTTCAGTTAAGAACTTACCTTACTAAAGTTTCTTTCTTAAATTCCCTATGTGATTAATTTAAAGTCCCTGAGGAATCACCAATCTTCCACAAAAGACTGGAAGACATTTTGCAATTCCAAAGTATCTTCTGGAAGACTTCAGGAATTTAGCTCAGTGGTTGTGCTGCTTGCCTTGAAAGCTCAAGGTCTGGAGTTTGATCCCCGGTACCAAAAAAAAAAAAAAAAACCAAAACCAAAACAACAAACAAACAAACCAAAGTAACTTCTAAGTAAAAATGTCAGTAAGCATCATGATTATTCTGGTTCTCTAAGCCCCAGGAGTAAGTTTTGTGCAAATAAAAGGGCATCCAAACTCTCACTTCCTTCTTGCTTGAATGCTAACAGTTTGTCTACTTTACAATAAATTCCTAGACTGCCCCAGGCCCGCAAAGAACCGAGGACCAAGGATATGAGGGGTTGGTTCTTTGCTGCAAGAGGATTTGGCTTCCCTGTGACAGTGCGGTTTTCACATGTCACAGGCAGGCTCCTCCTACGCCATCTCCAGATCGCTTATAGTATCTAGTAGACTAACCTCTATGTTCATGGCTCTTAAGTTACATTGCTGAGGGAATAACAACAAGAAAAATGCCTGTACATGTTCAGTACCAATGCAAAGCTAATTTTTTTTTTTTTTTTTTTTTTTTTGCTATGGGGATCAATCTTGGGACCTTGTGCTTGTGAGGCAGGCGGTGGCACCATGGAGCTAAACCCCAGCCCTATCCATACTTTTCTTAATACTTCCCTCTCTCTCTTTTTTTTGGGGGGGGTTTGTTTTTTGAGACGGGGTCTCATTATGTAGTTGAGACTGCCCTGGCACCCACTATGTAGCCTAAGCTGGTCTGGAACTCACAGGGATCCTCCTGCCTCAGCCTCCCGAGTGCTGGGATTACAGATGTGCACCACCACATTAATATTTCTCTTAATAGAAGGGAAAAATAAAACCTTTGTGACCTTCAACTTTTTTGTTGTTGTTGTTGTTGTTACTGGGGATTGAACTTGAATCCTTGTGCTTTTGAGGCAGGTAGCGGAACCACTGAGCCAAATCCCCGTTCTGCGGGGCCTTCAACTTTTGATGAAGATGAGTTTTGGACATCAAAATTAAAAAAAAAATTTTAAATTGGAAAAAATTAAGACTACCTGTTTTTTGGTGAAAAAAAAAAAACGCAAAACAAAAGCTACTTCCTATTCTTGCCTCATTCAAGGTGTACGTTTAGCTCCTATAATCCTGGAATTTATGGCTCCTGTTTGGGTTTAAATTCTCTAAAATGCAGAAACCCCCCAGGATGCCTCAGGCTGGCAGGAATTTTTATCTCCCAGGAGCCTCTCTGTTTCCTCTTGCCTGAGGAATTTGGGCTGGGGAGTGGTCGAACGGGAGACCATGAAGAGCAGCTAGTGAAACACCCGGAGCCAGGATGGGGGGCTGGGGAGGCCGGCTGGACCCCTTTGGACCCCATCTGCTGTCCAGCCTCTGGCCGAGGGAGAGGAAACCAAGCACAGAGCATTTCCAGAAGGTCAGGGATTCAACATTTGGGTGGAGTGTGATCGGAATCCAGGCTAAGGGCCTCAAAAGGGCGGGGTTAGAGCTCCGAAGACAGAGTTAAAAGGCAGCCGCAGAGGCTCTGGTGGGCAGTTTTCCTGTGTCCTGGTCTCAGCAGCCTCACTGGGCCACAAAGCCTGGGGTTTCTGGCATTTTCCCCTCTGCTCTCCTGACAGCGGTCGGGGTGGACAGGGGTCGGGTGGAACAGAGCACCGAATTAAAGCGTAAATACTTCTGTCTGCATCCTCTGTCACCTTTTCAAGGTGGTTTGTCCAGAAATCCCTGATACCTCTAGTAGATCAATGAGCACGGATTCTACTTTGATTGGATCTAGAGTAAACAGTTATGCCTGCTCCATTTGGAACCAAAAGGAAACCCTGACTTCCCAAACACATCTCTACTTTTCAGAGCAAAGCATGCGCCAGGAGGAAGAAGGCCTGGAAAACCGGTTAATAACAAAAATAACAATAATCACTACGCTTTAAAATAGGAACAAAACAGAGGCCATTGGGTCGGACTGAACGCTTGCACTGGGCCTCCCAGAGCGAACCAAAGTGGAATTAGTGTACCAGACCCAGCAGAAGTTCCAGGCCGCCATGCCCGCAGGTTATCTTATCTTGTCAGAACCAGGAGAGATACCAGACAGATCCCACAACCTGCCAGTTTAGCCAGTGTATAAAGAGATCCCCTCTGCTTTAACCTTGGCAAGGAGAGTCTCTTGGAAGTGACTTGGACTTCGGAAGTCATTTTTCTGTTCTGCTTGCCTTTCTGTCTATGTATATGGCCCAACAACCTTTTCTCAGCCCAGCCAAACCCTCAATCCATTTTATAGACTGCGATCCCGGCCGATTTTAGAGTCATGATTTTAAACCAAGTAAGATCTTCATGCTAGATTTCTTGTAATACTGTCGGTTTGGCGCTTGTTACATACCAAACACTGCTGGAGTCTACATATGGTCACTTCTAATCCTCCTGGAGTTCCTACTAGGTAGGTAGGTCTGATGATTTTCATTTTACAGGGGAAGAAACCAGCTATAAGTGGATGGCTGGTCCCCGCTGCTAAGGTCCTCTGGGCTTGGCCAGCTTGTTTCTCTGGTTCCTGAGACCTCGGTCTATTTACTCACTGCAATTACAGGAGCTGCTGGCTGTGGAACACCCGCACTTCGTGGGTGTTGGGCATGCTCTCCACAGAGGTGATCGCTAATTCCTTTCCGTGTTTTTCAAATAATAAAGTAAGGCTTAGACAGGTTAAGGTACCTGCCTCATGTTGAAAGAGGACAAGTGAGAGTCCAGTTTGAAGCCAACTCTGACCTTAGCACCCATGCTCCGTCCGCCATGCCGTCCACCCCTTCCAGAGGCAGCTGGAAAGCCCAGCGCCTGGGCAGTCCCTGAGTTTTGCCTTCTGTGGTTGGAAAGAATCCCACATTTGATTTCGGTTTCAGAGTGATCTGGTTTATCTGGAATCCACTGGGAATTTCTAGAGATCTAATCATCTGTACAACTTCCTTCTCCTGGTAGTTTGCAAAGAGCACTGGTGACTGGGTCCCCAAAAGCCACACCTTCCCTAAGGGGCACCAAAACCTTTTCTGGGTGACACAGTGGAGCTTGAAGGGGAAGTAGGCAAACAGAAGATGTTGACACTTCCTCCTCTCCATCCCAAACCTATGGCCTACCGCTTTTATCAGCAGAGATCTCAGAAGGCCCCGAGGTTGTTTCTGCTGGGCCTTGAAGTGGGATGCACCTTGCATCACCTGGTGTGGGGTGAGGGTTGGGGGAAGGGAGAGCAGGGCTCGCGCTGGTCATTGGGAAGGAGCTTCCACCTCACCTTGGTAAATGTGAGATTCAAGGATCCACCAGGGAAAGTCAAGAGAAGGTTGGATTTTCGGAAGCCACAATTGCCAGAGGCTTTGGTTGCATTGGGGTCGATGTTGAAGTACCTCTGAGGTGAAAAAACCTAAACCAGAAAAGATAGGAAAGGTGGAGGAGAGCCGGGGGAGGATAGGGGAAACCCAGGCTAGCAGATGGCCAAGAGGGGTCCACCTGAGGACTGCAAAGTCCCCGGATCAGTGCCGCCCTCCCTTCTAAACTCAAGCTCAATAGCTTGATGTAGTCCCCCATGAGGAGCGCCCTGCCTTCCTCCCCAGTCTCCTTGTTAATCTGGATTTTCATATGAATACCACAGCAGTCTGGAAGCGCAGGACCATCTGATTCAGATTTTTTATCTCTCAGGAAAAGGGCTGAGGCTCGAGGTCTTGTACAACAGTGGGGTCGGACTGGGCCCACTCAACCAACGCTCCCCGACACTCCGCCATGTGCCTTGTGTGTGTGTGTGTGTGTGTGTGTGTGTGTGTGTGTGTGGCGCTGGAGCTCAAATCTAGGGCCTCACACATCCGACACAAGTAACCCACCACTGAGCTACACCCCGGCCCCATATTCACCCCTTAATGGAGCTCCCCGGGGAGAGGTGAACTCAGCTGTTTATTTTCTTTAAGGACAGGATGCAGGGAAATGCCCATCCCTGGCAAGGCAGACTCCACTCAGATTTTTTCGAACATGGCGTAACAGTCCCGTGACCCCAGCTTACCGACTTTGTTTCCTGGACAATCAGCTCGATCCCCATCTGTGCTTTTATGCAGAGCCTACTTCCGTTTAGAACCTGGTAGGTTCCGGTCTTGGCAGATGATGGCTGAGGCACAAGGGTAGCCCCAGGAACTGTGGTGGCAGGTGAGGCTGTTGGGGTGGCGTTGTGTGTGGCTGTGGAAAGTCCAGGTGAGGCTGTTGGGGTGGCGTTGTGTGTGGTTACAGGAGTTCCTGGGGAAAGGGTGGGTGGAGGAGGTTTCTGAACGGTTGTGCTTCTGTGCGGTGCTGTGGACAGCGTTCTGGAGAGAGCGGTCTGGACACTGGGTTGGGTGGTTTTCCCAGTCATGTGGCTGATGGTGGATGGTCTGGCTCTGGGTGTAGACGTTGGAGGGGCCTGGGGTGGCTGGGAATGAGGAGCCGAGCTGGGGCCGATGGTAGCTTCAGTAATTGGAGGAGCTGTGTGTGAGTTGTCGAGGGTGGTGGCTAGGGTGTATTTGGCTGGGCTGGAGGATGGGGGGCTTTCTGTAGTTTGTGAGGTAGTTGTGATTGTGTGTGTTGGGTTCTCGGCGGTTTCCCCAGCTGTTGGCGAGGTTGCGTGACCCCCTGTTGAGCTGGCTGCTGAAGTTTCAGGAGGTGGGAGACGGCTGCTGGTCTCCGGAAATGCTTTTACTCTCATTTGATGGGTACATTGCAAGATTACTGTAAAGTAAGAGACAAAATGTTAAGATACTAACCAGCTGCTTACAAGTTTTCTTTCTCTTTCCTGTTGTAGTGTAAATGTATATAGCTAGATTTGGGGGGAAATTTACGAGGCCATGACAGTGAAATGAAGAGCATCAAAAATTCTACTACGAATGAGACTCTTGCAATGCTTTGGTGGCACCGTGGTACTGATCGGTCTACGACCCTACTGCGGACGGTTTTCTTGACGCAGCCCCTTGGCCTTCGTGGGCTGTGCTTCCAAAACACACCAAAGCCATCACGCTTGGCTAGACAGCTAGTGTCCGTGTCTCACCACTTCCCACACTCACGCAACACAGTGTAGTGCGTCATGGTGACTTGCTAGAGTTAGGGCAGCTAGTAGTGAGGACTTACAGGGTCTTACTGTTTTCCTGGACTCATACCATGCAGGTTCGAAAGGTGTCTCAGATCATCGAGTCCAAGCCCTCCCTGGATGTGAGAACTGCACCTGTGACTCTTCGCTACCTGTTCATCCAGTCGAGACCCACTTCCTAACAATATGACCCTTTCTATTTTGTTGTCTTGCTACTCATTATTTTTCTAAACATAGACTGATTCCTAGCATTTCCATGGTGTTTTGAGTGGCCCAGCCTTTCTCAACAAAGAAAGGAAATTCAGGCATCGTTGATTTCATTCTTACACGGCCTGTCCTTCACCTTTGGCTTAAACACCAACTCCTCTCAGACTGCCTTCCGTCCTCCTATAAAATAGTTCCCCACCCCTACGGTCGCCACCTCTGTGTTATTTTTGTTGGTTTTACTACACTAATCACGAGTCGTAATTACGTGTGGGGATTGTATTAAACATTAACACTTAGGGGCTGGGGATTTAGCTCAGTGGTTCTGCTGCCCGCTTTGCAAGTGCAAGGTCCCGAGTTTGATCCCCGGTACAAAAACAAAACAAAACCCCCAAACCAAAAAAACATTAACACTTAGTCTGGTACCAGCAGAATTTCAGCCCTGAGGAACACACTTACTAGTTAATGGTTGATTGGGTATCTGTTAAAAGTACCTAAAGGGAGGAATTGTGTGTACAGTTTTCACCATCAGTGCCCAGAAAATGTTCAGTGAATGAATTGGATGAATGAATAACTAACTGTAAAAACACAGATGACAGCTCTGTAGACCTAGGGCTGTCATAAGACCCAGTGGAACTGGTTTCAGTGAAAGGCACCAGGACCACTGAGCATTCCTGGGTATCTGCTGCCGTCATAGGCTCTCTCTGGGGCGTCCTCTTAAGGATAAAAGCCCCCTTGCTCTCTCCCAGCCTGAACGGATCTGTCCTTGCCTCCTCCCAGGCACACAGCAATCCAGAGAAGTGGACAAAACAGAGCTGATGGCCTGGATCGGCCCACGGCCCACAGTGCCGTCCCTTCAGTTTTGTGGTTCTGTTGTATTTGTTCACTCTCCTTGGAGCCCTCGGAGCCAGGTGCTGGGTGGAGACTTGGGAAAACACGGAGAGGGAAAGGAGGAGGCACTGTGCTGATATTCACAAGGTCAAAGGGCTCATAGCCAAGCGAGAGAACCCACAAACACCTTTCAACCTCCCTCTTCCATTCAATACATTTCTAAGTGGTTACTTTCCCCATATTAATAAATAACAATAAAAATCCCAAGTTGTTTTGATGATTACTACATTGGGGGCCTCAAGTCAAAGGCTGTTTGTTTTTTTTTTAACCAACTTTTCTTTAAAAATTCTCTAATGGGAACTACCTTTAGGTATTTTTCAAATAAGGAAACTCAGGCTAAAAAGTCCCATCAACATCACACCACTCACCAGTGTTGGACTTGAGCCTCGAGTCCCTCTAGACCTGAATCAAAGCCTGTCCCTTAGAACTGGGGGGTGGAGGTAGAGGTAGCGTGTCATCGTGAAGAGTGGTGAGGACACAGCAGAGGAGAGGACAGGAGGGGTCTTCCAGAGACCCCAATTCACAAAACCCTTATGATGCTGGTCCTCAGTGAGGGCTTCAAATGTCTGTGTTTAAAATGGTGATTGTTTTCCAGAAGAACAATTCTGACTTTTTGCCCAGTAGTTAAGACCCGTGAATTATTTCTGCACACCCAGCTTGCAAAATGGGACAGACAACACAGCATCATTTACATTGCTTTGGATACCATTTTTGGTGGGGTACTAGGAATCGAACTCAGGACCTTGCTCTTGTGAGGCAGGCAGTGGCACCACTGAGCCAAAGCCCTGGTCCTGGATACCTTTTTATTTTGTTTCGTGTTTTTGGTACTGGGAATCGAACTTGGGACCTTGTGCTTGTGAAGCAGCAGGTGGAACCACTTGCTAAATTCCTGGCCAAAAAGACTTATTATTAATGACATCAAGTTACTTAAGACTACCATTAGAGTCTTTTTTGTTTGTTTGTTTCTAAAATATTCATGTGGGTAAGTTAAAATAAAATCTTTCAAGTTATAGATTTTATGAGCTCTAAGTTTATGATTTCATAAAATCACTGTATGTGGGACATTAATGGCCATTTTGTAGGGCTTTGAAAAAGATTTTCAAGATTATAACAGATTTATCATAAAGGTTGTGTGAATTTATTTTCATAATTCATGGGGACAAACCTGAGTTGCTGCTTCTTTGGTCAAGAACCCAACCAGAACCCTACTAGGTTTAAACAGTTTTGACAGAGAAAGAAAATTCAGTCTTCCTGGAGGTGACTTCCCTGAACCTCTTGGTGTGAAAAGCTGTAATTGCTACAGAGTGCTAGCTCCCGGGGCCAAAACCATTTGCCTGCCTTCTGGAGGAGAAATCCCACCCTTGTGGTCCGACTGGGCATGGCTGATGTAGGAGCGAATGAAAATCTTCTTGCCTGAGCAGAATTTCCTAAACTGAGCAGCTTGCCCTTTCAAACAGGGACCCTTCCTAAGGTTACACACAGCTCCTTTATCAGCAGTGGTAAATGAGCTCAAACAAGGAGGAAAGCAGTACTTGGTCCATTACAAATGAACAGCATCCCACACAGGCCAAGAAGACTCCTGGGACCCTGTTGGAGGGCACTTGGGATGGAGGAGGTCGTGGCAGTCACTTTGCCTGGGTTTGGGATGAGCAGTTCGAGTGGTTGTTAGAGTTTGGATCTAATATTTCCATTTCAAAGGCCTAAGTGTTAAAGGCCTGGTCCCAGATTGACGCTACTAGGAAGTGGAGGAAACTTTATGGGTTGGGGGGAGGCTGTGTATGTGGGGGGCACAGTGAGACCCCAGTTCTTTTTCTTTTTCTCTTTAGTTTTCTGGCCATGAGGTGAGCCATTCTGCTCCAGCACCCACTTACACACTGAGCTCCGCCCATGATAGGCTGCTGTGGGGGGACTCAAAGCAAGAGCCCCAACGCGCCATGGACTGAAGACTGCAGCCATGAGCCAAAAGAAATGTTTTTCTCTATACATTGATTGTCCGTCTATGGAAAGCTGGCTCACACGGTAATGAACAGAAGGCTGGGCAGGCAGGTGTCTGGACCGGAAGTGCCAAGTTCACATGTGTGTTAGAGATCAAATCACTCTGGGAAATATGTTTTTGTACCGGGAATCAAACTGAGGGAGGGTCTTGTGCTTGCCAGGCAGGCAGTGTTCCACTGAGCCGCACCCCGGCCCCTAGGATGTGTACCTCTGTAGTCCTCTCCTCTCAGACCTTCCCTTCCTGGCCTCCGTTAGGGCTGTAGGGTGGGTACATAGTGGGTGATGATGCTGTGCATGTTACACATCCAGATAATTCATGTACTCGTGAGGTACCAGTGACCCTCGGGGATAACACAATGTTTCCCCAAATCCATGCACAGAACCACACTTACATCTGACCTGTCAAAGTCGGGCAGTCCTGGGGTCGTACACGGACCTGCCAGCCCCACCTCCACCCCAACCTTGTTGTTCAGGGTTAAAACCGCCCTGGACTTGATCCTCTGCTCAGACTCAATGCCACTATGGGGAGAGATGTGAGATGGTTTTGGTTCCTCTGCAGCCCGCAGGAGATGCTGAGAAATGAGTCACTGTCGTGGCCTCTGGAAAGTCAGCGACCACACGGGGCTCTGGTGACCTCTCCTCTAGGGTTTCTCTTGAAAGTCCCTTCCAAGCAGACCTTGTTGATTTCCTGTCACCTCTAACTCCACGGGTAGACAGAGGCCCCCCTGAGGCAGGCTCCACGCCTGACCTACATATGTCTTTGTTTTGTGGGGCTCCAAGCCTCGTGAGGCAACATATTAGCAGTCCACATTCCTGTCTGTGACAGCATGAAGTCACCCAGGGTGCTGGGGGAGTGTGGGGCTGATCAAAGGTGCTCAATCACCTGGGCAGCCCATTTCTGTAGTTTCCTTCTGCTTTTCCTACTTCAGCCAACCTGAAACTTGTATGTGATGGCTGGAGCTCCAGCAGACATTCAGAACCATGAGGAGGCCTAAAAGGCGAAGCCACACCAAGCACAGTGGGCTGATGACGAGCAGCCTAGAATAGGTCTGAATTCTTCCGGACTTGTTACATGAGAAATGAACCTGTCTTATTTAATCCCTGTCATCTGGGGCTTGTTGTGTTTGTGCAGCTGAATCTAAAGTTAACGGATACAAATCCTCTCATCTTCTAGAGGAGGAATAGAACATTTCTTCTTGAGTGCCCCAAAGAACAAGAAGTTAGAATTCTGAAAGAGCAGGACAAACAAAAGCAGCTCAGATGAGAGTGGCGGCCATGGCCCTTCACACCACTCCTGCAACAATCCTAACATTCGTGTCACAACCGGAGGCCACCGGATCTCCCCACCTGTGTGTCAGCGGCAGTGTGGACAGAGCTGGTTCTGTCCCACTCACTGCAGTGGTTCTAGGAGGAACTGAGGGTTGATAGTGAACTTGGGAGCGAGGACAGAGTAACAGTGCCCAAGACGACTCAGCGAGCCCTGGGAGAAAATGCTCTGTGGAAGCAGGAGCTCCAGACATCCCATAATCCTCAGCCCAGCTTCCCAGCAGCCTCT